CTGATTGGGAGCCGCCCAGAGTGGCTGGGGAAACTCAGCCAGATGGGCAGGGTATAAATAATAAATTATTATTATTATTATTATTATTATTTAAATACTAGGCAGCTGCCTAGGGTGGCAAAATGTTAGGGGCAGCAAAAGTAGGAGGGCAGTGGAATTCACAAGGTTGCAGAATTCATAGGCACATGACAGACTTACCATTGCTCCATGGCAAGGCGGATAATAGCGTGATTTTTTTTACTGACTTGCTTACAAGAAAATAGTTTATGGGAAGAAATGTTAGGCGCATACGTGCATCTGATCGGCTCACCTTGGTTGCTGCTGCTGCCCTGGCACACTACCATTTTGAAATCAGCTACTGATGAAAGTTGTTGTAACAAACATTTCTTACCAGCTGACAAATTTTCTCTCGCTATGACTGGGAAATTGCAATTGCTATATAAACTCTTTGGTATTTGTAGTTTTCTTTCTCAATTGTTGGCGAAGCTGGGAATTTATAATTCTTGTTTGTGTAATTCTGTATACACTCAAAAGCTGGTTTCAAAACTGGGGTTGATAGTTCTATTCTTATTTTTTAAAAAAGAAGCAGCTTTGTTTGGTTTATTATTCAGCATGGCAAAAAAAAATTATCTGGTTCCCAATATGGAGGGCTGAAAAGGAAATCCAAACAAACAAGAAGGTTGTATCTCCAACCACAACCAGAGGAAAGGAGTTCAAGGACCAAACTGAGACTGAAGCTGAAATGAGTTTTACATACTGCCTCAAAAGTTACTGCTTTGAGGGACATAATTTGAACACAGAAGACAAACCAAATGAATATTATGGATACTTTATATCAGCAGTTGGAAGAGATGGAACTAACTATTGAAAAAGGCAAGACAATGGCTCAAATATGAAGGGGAAAGAACTGAAAGCAAATGAATCTGAAAATGCTACAATGTCTACAATTTTTAACTTTAGTGAGCGTGCTGCTTGGCCTATTTGCCACAAATTTTGGTGGAGCATGGGCCAGAACCAATTCAACCATTTTTGTTTCCCAAGGATAATAATCTACTGAAGAAAATTCTCATTCTATAATTATACAAGGACACTGGCCAATGAGACATAATTAATCACCAATGATGTCAGTATTCCATATCAAATAACTGTGTTCTGGTTTTGTTGGAAGCTGCTTACTCGTAACATTACTGGAACATCACAATCTCTTTGTGATAAAGGAACAAGAGATTGGAAAACATATCTGCTGTTTCAGAAGGACACAAGAAAAGTAGTGACCATCTGGAAAATTTTCACAAATGGAAAGAACCTGAACTTCATTTTTTTTTTTTTTAAAAAAGAAAATTGTTGATGAAGAAAACATGCCAGAAGAAAAATACTGGCAACAAATTTTAGAATAACCAACCGGTTAACAAAAATAAATATATGTATTCATACCACTGGAAGAGACACGTGGTGTTGATATTATGGATATTTTATTTCAGCAGTTGGAAGAGATGCAACTACCTATTGAAAAGGGTAAGACAACGGCTCAAATATGAAGGGGAAAGAAAATGGCATCCAACAGATAATTCTGAATGTCAATCCATGAGCATTATTTGGTCCATGTAGTGCACATTCCTTAAAACTGATCATAGTTGATGCTGCTTTCGGAAGAGTTGGAAGATTCAGAACATTTCTATGCCATCTGGTGGGATTTTATTTCTTATGTTTCAGACCTTGATGCTCAATATTCACCATCCACCTCAGCTCAGGAAATATGCTTGTCTTGATTTATATTGCTGTGCCACCATTTTCCTTTTTAAATTTTGTATTGCTTATTTGTGTCTTATATGGCATGATGTAATACCCTGACTACTGCACTTTTGGGTTGTTAATGTCAATAAATATTTGGAAAATAAAAATAAATGCTGCTTCTAAGTGTTGCTTGGGTAGCACAAACATCTGACTGTCCTTTTCCTACCAAACAAGAAAACAGTTGTGCAACTTCCAATATGTTTTTGTTCTTTCGATGTTTTTGTTCTTTGCTGTTTTCATTATATTTTATCACTTTATGTGAGTCATTTCAAGCTATATGAAGGAAGACAGAGTAATGAGGCCTTCCTGAAATTAGCATCCCTATGACACAATGGGGTTATGAGAGAGGAGAACGATCCTTCAATATAGACAAAGCCTCCAAGGATCTCTCCCATACATTCCTATTTCATAAACAGGTGAAACAAGATTTTCGATTTGATACGAAGACAGGGAAAAGGTAAGAAAACAAAAGGGCAGAGATGGGAAATTAATACAATTAAATAAAACTCAAATCAAAATACTTGCTGTCAAAGTGAATGCATATTTCCAAAAGGCAACAGTATGATAGATGCCATTCACATAAAAGACTCGTCCAGCAACACAGGAGATGATAACATATCATCAAACGCTCTGAGAAATATACCGTCCCAGCTCCCATTTATTGCTACATTAACAATGGAGATGGCACATCAAGGGAAAACCCCAAAAGTGTCAGACCCTCTATATTTAAACATAAAGAAGGAATTTAAGTAAAGTCTGATAGAATACTGCGGAATATCTCAAAAATGATGAGCATGGGGAAATTGATGTCAAATATTAGTTTTACAAGTTCTACACTTAACATACTTTTCTCAGGACATAATAATTCAACGTTAAGCTGTCTGCTCTTACAAATAGGATTTTCATAAACTCAGGGAAAGGCTGGAGTCTGCATTCCTATGTACTGAAGCTATGCAAAAAACAAAATACAAACAAACCACTACAAAAGTAAGCTTTACCTATAGATTTAAAAGTAAGCTTTACCTTGATTTAATTTGTCTTGAACACTATGGCTAGGAGGACAATGAACCATTTTTTTTATGGAAATACAGAACACTTCAGACCCCATAGCACAATATGTATTTTACCAAGTTCTTGATTAAGAAACCAATATGGAATTTATAAGAACGGCTACAATGCTTATTTTAAGTCTTTCAGGACATTACTAGCAACTTCCTCTCCCACTGGACACAGCAGATGGAATTAGCATCTGGTCCTTCTTCAGTACAGGGAGCCCAAGAGATAATGGCCAGCTAGGAGGAAAATGTACTCATTCCCCAGACAGCAATCAAAGCAACTTTGGTTCCAGAGATTCTAGTAGGCACAACACTAAGGAGACACTTTGAATTAAAGTCAGATCAACAGTTTGGAAGGAAGCCCAGAAAGCAGAGACTTCTGAAGTGAAGTAAGACCAAGAATGGTATTATATGTTTAGGAAAATAGGCTTATTATCTAGTCTCCTTCAAATTAACAGTTTAAGAAAGAAGCAATCATGTAGTGAAAGCATGCTACTAATACAGAATAGGAGTGTGCAACATATGACATTAAATTATACAAGAGTAGATTACAGAGGGAAACTGCCACTAGCTGTAATGCACCATGTTATAAATTTCCAAGTTTTTATCTTCAAGATTTCACAGCACTTATGTCCCTATTTATCAGAAGATAATTTGAGTGGCCATGATCTCGTATTTCAAACTTCCAGTGAAAAATTAATTGCATCCAGCAGAATCTTACAAGTAAGACTTACAATTGTGCAGAGGTACATAGGATAAGAATCTCATTCAGGCGCCCTTGGATATTTATTTATGGCAGAGTTTTAACACCCAGCTCTTCCCCCAGGTTCAAGCAAAGGATAGGTTATGATACAACAAGTGTGAAACAAATTATGAAGACCACTATGGACTTTGATGCAATTCAACAGATTGTAATACAACAAAGCTGTTAATACGGTTGGTAATTCAAATAATATGCACTGCCAACGATGCCCCAAAAGCTAAACTACAGTACTAGGAAGAGACAGGCCTCACCTTTTCAGTGTTCTATGATCTAGTTGAGATTCCTGCATTGCAGGGGGTTGGACCAGATGACCCTGGTGCCCTTCCAGCTCTGCAATTCTGCGATAAGGCTCCATTCACAAGTTCCCTTCCATTTCACACACTGTTTCTCCCCACCACTCTATTTTTCTTTTTCAACGCCACTTTACATTGCACCAGAATCTTCATTGGACTGTTTTTTGTGGGGAAGGAGGAGGACTAAGGATTTTTTTAAAAAACAAACAAACCAACAAGGTATTCTACCAACCACTGTGGTTCTTCCTAGCATGCCGACACTTCTCTCCTGTTTTTTTAATGGTTCCAGTTCTAGCGGTGCTCACCACCTAAATTCACTATCTAAATTCACAATTTAATCAGATTATAGTAGCTAGCTGTAATCAACATGATGAAAACTGGAGGGCCCTGGGGAGCACAAAACTAGGCTTGTAAGACAGGCTGAAAATGCACAACCTTTTAACGTCTTCTGTGCTTTCCACTTGGCAAAGAATGTCCCTGCCAGAACAATGGAAAAATGAGGGAGGACAGAAATATGACATTCTCTCAGCCCTATTCCTTAGCTGAGAAAACGTGAATGTGTACTGCAGCCAAAATTGCACTGATATCAATTAAGACCTAAGCACACATAAGTTGGTGAAGAACTGCAGTGTGAGTTTTCAATGCAGTATCCATAACCACATAAGGAACTAAACAAAATCAGTGATCTTTAAAGAACAAGAATAATTACAAGTGAAAAGTAAAACAAAGTTCTCTCAGTCTTCTAAAGTGATACAACCGTTTCACGTCCATAATCCAGAACTGATCACCTATGCTACTTTTTCTAATTACAAAATATAATAAAGTTTTAGATAGTATGTTCATATATATATATTCACAATTAAAAATATATAGATGTATTATATTAGAGAGAATTTGTTTTCTAGTCCCCAGGGAAATATACCACAAAAGAGAAATAGTGATCAAATTAGCTTAATTACTCCATGTCAACTTGATTAGTCGCTGTTCTTTAATGCAAAAGCTGCCACTTGCAATTAATAGCAGTTGGTGCTGGTTCAATTGATTGAGTGTCTACAATGTCTACGAAACATGATAGGAAGTTTAGCATTATCTTACAGCAATTCAGTAGAGAAGTCTTGTCCCAATGGTACATAAATCTGAAGTACCAGAAATTGCTGGATCAGTCCAACTAGAAAAAGAGAAAAGAAATACATAAAGTACAGCCTACACGTATTATTTAGCATTCCAGATAGAGATAGGAACTTTATTTCCCAAGGTTTATGCAATATATAAAAAGAGGAAAAACAACAGAAGGAAACCAAATCAAGCCGCAATAAAAGGGGATACTATTCTAAACAGGCAACTGGTGGCTCAGGTGGAACTCCTACAAAAAAGAGACCTAATTACTTTATTTACAGTTTTCATTATGTTGACAGCACACAAACAAGGGCACTTAAAAATAAATCTAAAAATTCACAGGCATTTTCCAGCAAAAGCATGTGGTGATTACTCTCATAGATGACAAATCTAAACTTTATTTGAACCACTTAAACAATTCATCACACAACAGAATTCAGATTAGGACAGCTGGGGGCAACTGAGGGTTTGTTCTAAGCTGGATGTCTAAAACAGAAATGTAAGCTCAGATGGGAAAGCAAAGAGCAAAAGTTTTTCTGCAAAAATCAAAATCCATTTCAGGACAGGAAAAACAAAATGATTTTGATTAATAATGGCCACAGAATAATCATTATAAAAAAAAGGTGGGGGTGGGGGTTCCTGTAGTTGTATGAACAAGAATAGCCATGCAGTACTACTATCCTATTATGACCAACTGAAAGAATACCTGACCAACCCCATTCTAAAAAACACACCCTTCCAACTGTCTTAAGACCAGCTGATTGTGATCCTTGATGTAACTGACTCACCAGCCCTAAACAACAGATTGTGTTACCCTATGCTTGGATCTCTATTTTGAAAGGCACGATCTAGACCAGGGATTGTCAACCTGGTCCCTACCGCACACTAGTGGGTGTTTCATGATTCTAGGTGGGCGGTAGGGGGTTCTATGGCACAAGCTGAATCCTTCTTCCATCGAGCACTGGTGGGCAGTAAGGAAATTTTACCATCAAGAAAGATGCATTAGTGGACAGTAGGTATAAAAAGAGGGACGCGGGTGGCGCTGTGGGTAAAACCTCAGCGCCTAGGACTTGCCGATCGTCAGGTCAGCGGTTCGAATCCTCGCGGCGGGGTGCGCTCCCGTTGCTCAGTCCCAGCGCCTGCCAACCTAGCAGTTCGAAAGCACCCCCAGGTGCAAGTAGATAAATAGGGACCGCTTACTAGCGGGAAGGTAAACGGCGTTTCCATGTGCTGCGCTGGCTCACCAGATGCAGCTTGTCACGCTGGCCACATGACCCGGAAGTGTCTTTGGACAGCGCTGGCCCCCGGCCTCTTAAGCGAGATGGGCGCGCAACCCCAGAGTCGGACACGACTGGCCCGTACGGGCAGGGGTACCTTTACCTTTACCTTTTAGGTATAAAAAGGCTGACTACCCCTGATCTAGAAACAAAGAAGCTTTTCAGTTAAACATGTTGCAAACTTTGTATGAGAAATCGGGTTAGCAAAAATGAACTCCACAGCGCCATCTAGTGTTAGTGTTAGAATACATAAACACATATTAAGCGCTTTTTCTTTGCCAATGTAGCCGAGTCCAAAGAAGCACTGCCATTCCTGCTTTTCCCTTTCAGAGTCTTTAATAGTTAATATAGGCATAGGCAAACTCGGCCCTCCAGATGTTTTGGGACTACAACTCCCATCATCCCTGACCACTGGTCCTGTTAGCTAGGGATGATGGGAGTTGTAGTCCCAAAACATCTGGAGGGCCGAATTTGCCTATGCAAGATATGTAGCTGTGGGTTTTGTGTTTTAAAGAAGCCTGTTTAACTGGGTTCAATGATTAAAAAAATTCTTTAAGGGCTTTGGTTGTATTTTCATTCTATGTTTAAATTCCTCCGAGAACTTTGCTAGACTGGGGGTATATAAACGTCATAAATTTACTTCCTGAAGAAAATTATGTGTCTATGGTTATTCCTGTGTGTAATTTGGTATTTGTGTTTTCTCTTTCTTCTTTTCTTGCGGTTATCAATAATAATAAAATTACTTCCTGGTAAGCATAATTGGGACTGTGGCCTTGGTGACAAGCCTCTTTAAAGCAGTATTGGGAAAACCTCAGGCAAACCCATTTGCAAATTTTGGACCTCTGAGGTATGGCAGCCCAATCAGATTATTTTGGACTCGCCACATCCACCTTACATGGACCTGACATCATATATGACATTGGACACAGGAAAGTTCAAGCTATACCTAAAGGAAGAAGAACTCAATGTGCTCCTGATTCTGACTTTGCAGCCAAAAGTTGACACTTCTTGAATTTTACACTTTTTCACGCACAGAGACACAAAGGCGGAGAATTCAAGAACTGCTGACTTTTGTCTGCAGATGAAGAAGCAGGAGTCTATAGAGCGCACTTCTGATTCTTCCTTTGCATCCCTGGCTTGAATTCTTCCTTTCAGGCATGGCTTGAAGTCAATCCTGGGATGCAAATGATGAGACATCCCTGCAAATGATGAGTCAGCGATGCAAAGAAAACTTCCTTTGCAACCATGGCTTGATCTTTAAATCACCTGTTGTCATATCACAGTTTGCCTGCTGAAATGAAATGCTGAAGAGCCACTGTCATTCAATTTAGACAGCACTGAACAGGATGGACCAATGGTCTCACTCAACAGAAGGCAGCTTCTTATGTTCATATCACAAAATTTTTTGTTACAGGTAGGTGTTGGTCTACCGTAGTCAAAACAAAATAAAATCACTACAGTGGTACCTCTGGTTAAGAACTTATTTCGTTCCGGAGGCCCATTCTTAACCTGAAACTGTTTTTAACCTGAAGTACCACTTTAGCTAATGGGGACTCCCGCTGATGCTGCGCCGCCGTTGTGCGGTTTCCGTTCTCATCCTGAAGCAAAGTTCTTACCTTGAGGTACTATTTCTCAGTTAGCGGAGTCTGTAACCTGAAGTGTTTGTAACCTGAGGTACCACTGTATATATAAGAGTCTGGTGACTTCTATTTCAGGGACGCGGGTGGCGCTGTGGGTTAAAGCCTCAGCGCCTAGGGCTTGCCGATCGCAAGGTCGGCGGTTCGAATCCCCGCGGCGGGGTGCGCTCCCGTTGCTCGGTCCCAGCGCCTGCCAACCTGCATTCAAGTGGTAAGTAGATAATAGTGGCTACTGCCGGGAGGTCAAACGCGTCGTTGCTCGCTGGCTGAATGCAGTGTCACGTGGCCACGTTGACCCGGAAGTGTTTCCGGACAGCGCTCCCCCGGCCCTTAAGTGGATGGGGCAAACCCTAGGTCTAAGATGGCACGTACGGGAGGGGTAACCTTTTACCTTATTCTATTGTGTATCTGGTTGTGCATGCAAAAAGTCATTTAATAACAACTTATTGGTCTCTAAGTGCTATGTAAGAATTTTTTATATTTGTTTCCAAAAGTTTTTGTTGCTAAACACAAAATGCACTCAATAGAACAAGCCCAATGTCTTAAGTTTAACATAGCCTCAAGCCAATTTCTCCAACATTTGCCTGCTGTTTACCCATACATTTTTGCTTTCAGTTTTAAAGCCTAGTTTAATGTTTTGATTTTAAATATGTGATAATTAGCCTACAGAATATATCTCTAAATAAATACAAAGTGGTAAGAGTCAGAATGACTCTACAGTTCACTGCAAAATCAAGGGAAATGGTAATTCAAATTTAAGCTGTTAACACAAAGATTGCAACAGTCTTAGTAATTAACAATTCTCAAATTAAGCCTGAGCACTTTGTTGTAACCCTGCCAACAAACAATTCAAAATTCCATTTCTCATTAAAGATGCATTAAATATTTAGAGATCTGAAAATTTTACAGCAGAAATTTAAAATTAATTGAACCCATAAGCATTAATGCAGTAGCACACTTTAAAGCGCCTCATTTCTCATATAGCCAGTGTTTGGAAAGTTAATTTGCAATTACAAAATACTATCCAATAAATATTGGAATGTTCACTTTAACCAGAACATCACATGACAACCAAATCACATAGCTGAAAATGCCAAATCCCGATCCAACATACAGTTCAAATGGCAGAAAGCTTTATAGTCGGTGCCAAAATTTCGCAATGGTAGGTGTCTATCTCGTTTCAGCTGCTAATGGATTCCAGGGAGATGGAGCTGCAACCCTAAAAGCCTGGTTCCCATGAGAAATTAAGTGCACCTCTGTGGCAAATGGTACACTCATCAGTGCCCCATCTAAGCGGCACAGTTGCTGGGCAGTGAGATATTGTGAGACAGTCTCTTAGATGTCTTAGCAAGCCAAGCTGGCAAATGAAGCTCCTAGATACTGGGGCCACCTCAAGTGCCTCAAGTGACAAAGACTGGACCTGGAGCACCCTCAAACTATGTAACTGTAATTTTAGACGGAATGCAACCCTCTCCAGAATAAGCAGCTGATCTATCTCCTGGACCTGGGGATCACTCCCCACAGGTCCTTCATCTTGACAGGTTTAAACTCAGCTTATTATCTTAAAGGAAGATAGCGAAGAATACTCCCAGAGACCTCTCATTAAAATCCTAAGAATTTGAGTCTGATATCCAACTGTCTATATACCTTAAGTGATAAATCCAGAAACCTGAGGTTGAACTTTTATTTTACTCTCCCTCTCTTCTACAAACAGATTTTAATTATTGTTTCTGGATTTATATTTGGAAAGTGAGGGAATCAGTCCATTTAAAGCAGTGGCTCTCCAACTTTTTTCTCTAGGCCAGAGGTCGGCAACCTAAGGCCCATGGGCCACTTCCGGCCCATGAGCTTCCTGGAACCGGCCCATGGCCATTCTGTGGATTGGCATAGGGATTCCGTGCTCTTTTTTTCCGCGGCGCCATTCCTTTTCTCGCTGTGGGGACCAACTTCCAGGTCGGAAGAGTGCCGGAAATAGCGTGTACGCACGTGTACGGACGCTCCTCCGAGAGGTCTGCCAGGGAGTGGACCGGACCGGCCTCAAAAAACGTTGCCGACCCCTGCTGTAAGCCACTTTCAGAATGAAAATTTGCTTGTGACACGCTGATTTTTTTTATTGATAAGCAATACATTGGGGGGGGGGGAATCCTAGCAGTGCTTGATTTATGACACAGAACACAGCTACTTTATAATATGACTGTGGGACATTCAGAAAGTACAAAACAATGCAGCTACATAAGAACATGAATCATTCCCAAAATATAATTATAAACAAACCTATTACAAACAGACCTTAAGTATACAAACTCAATGAGAGGTGTTAGCTTGATTTTGCCAGATTATTGTTGTTGTTGGCATCCACCTATCTCAAGAGACAACACAGTGCGCCTCCAGGGGTGAAGACAAACCGCTGCGTTAGCAGCACCAAAGTAACCTCCCTGGGGTGTAAGACTGGACAGTGCATATGGAGACCCCCCCCATCCCACCCCCATTGTATGCTGACAGCTTCTAGGAGCCACAAGTAAGAGCTGAGTGCAGGGTGGGGACCAAAGGTGGACAAACTATCCCTTTGACTTCACCCCGGAAGTGCACTCCATTGTCCCTCAATGGGGGGGGGGGGAGGGAAGGTTGCCTCCCTCTACAAACGCTCTAGTTCGCCAATGTCTTTGTCAAAATGTGGCATTCACAAACTGGACATAGTTCTTCACATGTGGCCTGACCAGTTCAGCATAGAGCAGTTTTATTACATCCTGTTATCTAAATACTCCAAGCAGACCCACTGAGGTCAACGGGCATACATTAGTCATGACTAACTTAAGTATAGGGACGCGGGTGGCGCTGTGGGTAAAAGCCTCAGCGCCTAGGGCTTGCCGATCGAAAGGTCGGCGGTTTGAATCCCCGCGGTGGGGTGCGCTCCCGTTGCTCGGTCCCAGCGCCTGCCAACCTAGCAGTTTGAAAGCACTCCCGGGTGCAAGTAGATAAATAGGGACCGCTTACTAGCGGGAAGGTAAACGGCGTTTCCGTGCGCTGCACTGGCTCGCCAGAGCAGCTTTGTCACGCTGGCCACGTGACCCGGAAGTGTCTCCGGACAGCGCTGGCCTCCGGCCTCTTGAGTGAGATGGGCGCACAACCCTAGAGTCTGTCAAGACTGGCCCGTACGGGCAGGGGTACCTTTACCTTTTAACTTAAATATACAACCTTACGCTTCTGTTAATGCAGCCGAAGATTGCATTAGCTTTTTCAGCAACCATGTAACATGGCTGAGTCATGTTCAGCTTATACTTTACTCAGACTCGATCACTTCTGCTCTATATGAAGACTACTAACATGCATATGAAACTGGTTAACCAACATGTTATCTCACTTGCTCCAAACCCTAAGCATGCCATTGTGTGCATGAATCCCATGCATAAAAGGGCTTTCCCATATGCCTCAATGAATGAGTTAGATCCCTAATAGCAAGATACCAAACATGTTCAAGGAAAAATTATTCTAACCAACTTAATTCCATGAAAATGAAATATGCATGTGGTAGCGTCACCATACCAGCTCAGAGTACAGTTCATCTGTGCTGAAAAAGCTGCTTATTCTTTCCCTGTGCTGAAAATAATTTTGTACCCATTTTGACATAAAAGCCCATGTAAACTGCAGTCAAAAGAAATAAAAGCTACCTCTAACATTTGCTTCCAACATATTTCATCTGAAGTAAACATAAACAAAACAAACGAATAGGCAATAAACAACATGCAGTGCCTAGAGGCTGACTTGTAATGTCATCATGAAAGAAATGGGGGCAGATCCTTCTTGCCTAAGAGAATAGCAGAGCTATTAGGCCGCATTCTGGACATTCTTAAAATAATCATTCCTTTGTTTGCAAAATATAGCCATTTTAAAATCATTGATGGCTCGTTTTCTAGATCTTTAGAAAACACAAACAGAGGAAGAGAGAAAGCAAAAAGGAGCAGTAGAAACTGTAAACACATGCTGCCAAACATTTTTAAATGAACATTTTAAACACAGACAAATGACATATTTATTGAATACTATTTCCTTATGAAGTTATGCTGTAACTCATTGCTACAACCCCATTTGTAATTGTGACTACCACCAAAAATATTTACTTGCACAATAATAAGCTGTGATATGACTAGCAGATAGACATATACTACTTTCTCAGTTCCCAGAATTCTCAGCTCACTAAATAAAAACTGCACTATTAATGTTCAAAATGTACCTTCTTTTATTTAGGACATATCTTTGTACATGTTTTCGCAGCTGCTGCCAGCACATAGTTTTTAAAAGCTCATCCACTTGCAATACATGCTGCCCTCACTCTGCTTCCAAACCCCAGCGCGTTCTCTCTCTCTCCCTCTCTCTCTGTACATGTGTCTGATTGCCTCACATGTGATGAATTTAAGAGCAAAGGAAAGTTCATCTGTTCTTATTCAGAAACTATGTTCTGGGGTTTCTTTGTTTTTAAAGGCACAATGTAAGATACAGAAGACTAGCAAGGTTTGACATCAGTATCTGAAATGAATTCTCTGCCCTGACTTTGTTGAAGCCAGTCTACTGTGACCTTACAGTGTCAGCCTAAACGATGGAGATCCAAATTAAAATAATCAGACTGCCCTGACATTCACTATCTCTCACCCTAACCTACCACACAGGGTTGCTGTGAGGACAAAATGGCGGAAGAGAAGAATCTGGTGCTGGGCACTTTGGAGGAAATATGAAAAAGTAATACATAAAATGCTGGTGAAAGAAAGCAGCGTCTCTCCTCACAGTGGAAAATGGCAATAACCCAGAAACACAGGTTTTTCCTTGAGGGAAGTGGTCTAGTATAATTGTATCATGCATTTGTTGCACAATAAACAGAGGCAGAGAAAGCCATCAGCGAAGATAGATATATGGCAAGCCTTTCATACAAATCAAGCTACAATATAATAGTTGAAATTATGTGAGGAAAGGTCAATAGAGCTTAACAGAATGCCTTGGTAACTCGTGATAAGAATCTTATCTGATAGCTCAGTTGGTAGAGCATGAGACTCTTAATCCCAGGGTTATGGGTTCGAGTCCAACATTGGGCAAAGGATTCCTGCATTGCAGGGGGTTGGACTAGATGACCCTCATGGTCATTTCCAACTCTATAATTATATGAAATATTTCCCCCTATAAAGGAATTTTATAAGCATTAATTAAGCCTAGAAAAATGGAAAATACAGGATTACAGCTCTGTTTTACAGAATTCACAGAAACAATTCAAAGACCCTCTTCAGTGTGTGCCTGTATTTGTCAGTTAGTCATCATCTTTAGAGGGCCTATATGATCACATCTGGCCAGCCAACTCTGCTAAACTTACCAACAGGGAAGGAAGACATTTGGTTCCTTAGAAAGGAAGCACTTTGTACAGGGAAGCATTTGACTGCACAAGGAAGAGGCTTTCCATTTTCTGAGTTCACGTGACACATGTATGCCTGATATATTTATTTATTACAGCTTTATCCTGCCTTTTCTCCAAAGAATTTAGAGTGGAGTACATGTTCTTCCTACTGCCATTTTATTCTTTTAACTACCGGTACGTTGGGAAGTATGTCATGCTGAAAGTGAACCAGTCTGCTTAATAACCAAGTGAGGGCTTGAATTCATTTCTCCCCCATCTATGCATCACACTCTATTTTCTGCAGCATGCTGGCTTAAAGCAGCAGGAGGTCTAGGGGAAAATGGTTAAAATATCAAGAGCAAAAGTAATTTTGACTAAGTGGCTCTGACTGAAAAAGAGATTTCCCTCTAACTTTGGAAGAACCTAGTTTAAGACACAACTGGCCAAATTTTATATTTGTAGCACACTACTGCTTCAAAAAAAGGGACGCGGGTGGCGCTGTGGGTAAAAGCCTCAGCGCCTAGGGCTTGCCGATCGAAAGGTCGGCGGTTCGAATCCCCGCGGCAGGGTGCGCTCCCGTTGTTCGGTCCCAGCGCCTGCCAACCTAGCAGTTCGAAAGCACTCCCGGGTGCAAGTAGATAAATAGGGACCGCTTACTAGTGGGAAGGTAAACGGCATTTCCGTGTGCGGCTCTGGCTCGCCAGAGCAGCGATGTCACGCTGGCCACGTGACCGGGAAGTGTCTCCAGACAGCGCTGGCCCCCGGCCTCTTGAGTGAGATGGGCGCACAACCCTAGAGTCTGTCAAGACTGGCCCGTACGGGCAGGGGTACCTTTACCTTTACTGCTTCAAAATTAAAGCCTAATCACATTTTATGATACTGTGTTACATCTATATTTAATACATTTGTACTTACGAGCTTGCCTGGTTTCCTTAGGAATTTGCATCTTGTTTGTTTGACTGCTTCCTTCAAGAACAAAGACAAAGCCTTTCACTTGCTTATCGAACTCCTATCAAACCAACAAAGAAGATATTATACTTGGGGCGGCCAAAACAATTGTCCAAAAACACCAAAAAGATTTTTATTGGTTGTGAAGCCTATCATGAGCAAAAGGCAGTACAATTGGCTGTCAATGCTGGGGTGGGTAACCCTTTTTTAACTCAAAGGCTACATCTGCTATTGGCAAACCCTCTGAGGATGATGTGTTGCACTCATTCTCTGGATTGCGAAAAGAAAGAAATCACTTTCACCATCAAATTGTTGGAAATCTTGGGAGTCATATATGGCTGATGGGCCACTGGTTTGCCACTACTCTTCTAGAGCTTTCTCCATTAACAATGAGTACAGTCTTTGATTGAGATTAGGGACTGCTATAAGGACTCAGTAGTTATTTTGTTTTGTGAGCCACCCCTGGAAGCTGACAGCTGGGATACTGTATTGGGTCAGATTGTTATTATTAATGTTTGACATTTTATTATGTTTTTGTGTGTGTTGGAAGCCACCCAGAGTGGCTGGGGCAACCCAGTCAGATAGGCAGGGTATAAATAAAATTATTGTTGTTGCTATTTTGTTAGTTCCCTCCTTCTCTGCTTTTGTGAAAGAAACCCAACATGCAGAATTTAAGCCGGTGAACCTTTCCTCATCACTATTTTCATGCCAGGAAAAGACTGGACTAGACCAGCAGTAATAAAAAGCTATTCTAAGCCTGCTGCCATTAGAATTTTTTAGCTGTACGAAGTGCTAACTTCCGTGGTCATTTATTTTTTTCACTGTAAAAGAAGTGAAAGTGACAACTCTTCCACAGTCAGGTCAAAGCCCTTATTACTTTCTAATGTTAAGTTTCATGTACATTTTCTGTAGTTTATATACCAAGGTCTTATCATTCCTGCATGAGACATACCTTCCCAATTACTGAAGGACTGCCAGAAACCTTCCATTTCATTCCAGGGTTCTTGCCTTGAGCACTGAAGATTTCAACAAATGGGCCACCCTGTAAGAAAAGCAAACAATGACCTGTCCGGTGTGGTTATCACTTGTGCTTTCTTTCACCCCATTGCTCAATAATTTAATCATAAGGGTATCCATTTGAAACCAATTCCTGATATAAATATCAAGAGTAATAAGAGTGATTCACCCAGATGGTGATTAGAAGTGCTTTTTATCGGCTAATGCTGGTGCACCAGCTGCCCCCCTTATGGGAGAAGATGTACTTTTGCTGATGACACCTAATTATCCAGGGTGACAACAAGGGATTGCAAGGAGCTCCAAAAGAGTACAGTGATACCTCTGTTTACGAACTTAATTCGTTCTGGAGGTCCATTCTTAACCTGAAACTGTTCTTAACCTGAGGTACCACTTTAGCTAATGGGGCCTCCCGCCACCGCCGCCGCATGATTTCTGTTCTCATCCTGAAGTAAAGTTCTTAACCCGAGGTACTATTTCCGGGTTAGCGGAGTCTATAACCTGAAGTGTTTGTAACCCGAGGTGTTTGTAACCTGAGTGTAGGGATATTGCGGAGTGGGGAGTGGGGTCCGGAGGGAGCACACTTCCCCACCAGCAGGCAGCCACAATCTGCCTGCACGCATGACCTTGGGGTGCAGGGCAAACTCCCCCTCAGACAAGCCACGGCTGTCGGAACAGCGTCCCCTGTGTCTGACCTTTTGCGGTTTCAGCAGTCAGCGGTGTCCTGTCTGTAACCTTCCCCCCCTCAAGACCTTTTGTCTCCATTCGTCATACACTGTGCAAGGGGAAAATGACGCTGTGGAACAGGTGCCAAAATAACTCTGCACTACCCCACGATCTCGGGACGGAAGATGTGTAAAGGTCACAGCCCAAAATGTATCTGCCTAGCTTGCATATTTGTCTCAATAGGAGGCTCCACAGGAATGGCAGCAACTCGCTACAGCCCACCTGTGCGCAGCTCACATGATGATCAACACCTGTCTTGGGCCTTCACTTCACTGAGGTACCACTGTATCTACAAACTGGGTGAATAAGCAGTAAAATGGGTAATGCTGCTCTACTTGAACAAGTATAATGTGATGCACATTGAGGAAAAATCCTCAATTCAAATATGAACAAATGGGGTCTGATTTGGTGGTGACTGACCAGGTAAGAAGTCTTGTTTTTAACTGTTTTTACGCTTTTCTTGTTTTCTTTTCCAGCTTTGATTGTTTTATTATATATTTCATTGTTGTATAATTGTGGTAAAGAGCTGGTAATAAATAAACATTTGGCTCATTTTAGTCTGGAACAAGAACATATAAAATTGTGCATTCTGTGAGGAATATGAACAGTTTTATTCCCCCTTTCATAATACTAAAAACTAAGGTTATCCAGTGAAATTGAATTAGGAAAGATTCAAGACAGACAAAAGGAGTGTGTGTGAGAGAGAGATATACCACTTCATTGCGACAAAGCTTTCTAGCAGTTTACAAAAATATAAAATAAAATATTAACATTCTGAATTAAAAAGTTTAAAACAAGTATTTAAAAACATTGCAAATAATGTTTTAAAACAATCAAAAAAACCTCTGGAATTCACGGCCATGCGCTTGCCACCCAACTTGAATGGCTTTAAAAGGGATTAGACAAATTAATGGTATGCTTCTGAACATCTGTTGTCAAGCAAAACAAGTGGGGAGACTGCTATTGCCCTCATGTTCTGCTTGTGGGCTGAAGCAGGATCTTAGCTGGAAGCAGCAGAGTTCATTAAGGGAAAATGTGCTTCAAATGAACTTTAAAGGCATAATCGAATATATAGCTTTACGGGTTGGGAATGATTAGAAACTGACTAACTATCAAAGCCAGAAAAGGTTTGTGGACTCCTGGTCAAGTCTTCGAAGAAGATCTAGACTGTTATAAAACAGAAATGAACATCAATCACTGAGCTTAAAAAAAGCTCAGACTAAAAGCTCAAATTAACGTTGTCAATATTTTGCTCTTTTTTTAGGTTTGTTTATAGGTTTGTGTAAAAGTTAACGAATAAACATTTCTGTTTTACCTGATATTCATTTTTGAACATCCTGACAACAATTTCACAGCTGGAACAATTATTTCAATACACCAGTGAGCAATGGGATGCTTCTAGAAGTCACTAGAAATAAAGAAAAAACATTACATGAAATTCCACAAAAGCTTTACTAAAATAGCAAATGGTACTGTGTTTGAAATACTGCCTAGCACTAGTTAGTATCCCATAATATCTGAAGCAAAAGAAGTGTGTTTTACTCTGGACCACCTTCTTGGTTCTGGCTGTGCTTACTAGCTAGTTCAGCTTTCTCTGTTTACAGGACAAATATCCAACCTTAGACATCAATCAATCAATCAATCAATCAATCAAGACAAATATTCAAGCAATTGTAGTGCAACATCCTCACATAAATATGCCAGCATCTTTTTTCACTGAGTATCATGGGGTCTGTAGTTCAATGGTCTATCTTGGGGGTAGTAGCAGGCTACTGAAGACATCTGAAGGGAGCCCTGTATTGGGTAGTTTTTAATGTTTGATGTTTTATTATGTTTTTATTGGAAAGCCACCTAAAGCGGCTGGGGAAACTCAGCCAGATGGGCAGGGTATAAATAATAAAATTATTATTATTATTATTATTAGGCGGCAGAGGAAGGAACTTGACCCTTCCAGGTATTAGAAAGGTAGTCTTCAACTTTTTCTGAAGTAGAACCCATCTTTAACCCAAAAATGCTCTTGGGGATTTATTTCTTACTTTTTAACCATATATTTCTATGGTAGTATGACTTTTGTTGCAGCGCACCTTGGATCAGACCACAACACTTTACTGGGCTCCAGTACACCAACTGCAGACCAATGCATTAGAATGAAACTTTCAAAAGGCCCAATTCCTTTTGCTGCCCGGTAGGGCAAGCTTGTGCTGCCCATATCATATAGAGCTCAAAAGATCAAACTGATAGCGATGCTTCTTGCACATTTATCAAAAACTTCTCTCTTGCTGTTTTCTATGAGCAACTTCAGCTGGAGCATCTGCACTTGAGTCAAGGAAGTACCTTGGAATTTAGGAGCACTGGGATTTAGCCTATTCACATGAAAGGCTACAGCTTGGTCCTGATTATTAAATGCCTTGCCCATCACTTGATAAGTGTGACTTGGAGTGATGACCTGCACGAATGAATGAATCATCACTGAACACTGCAGAATGAACACTGCAGAAAGAATAACCTGACATTTACTTCAAATGCAAGGCCTTTCAATAGAAATGGCTCCAACATCTAGTTATCAGTTGTTAAGTATCCAAGTCATCAAGTGTAGAGAAATCAAGCAATATACATGAATGTGAAAATCAGGACTTAGCATGGCTTCTCTACAGCACTGGTAGTAACTTTGATGGAACAATTTTCCATAAAATGGTGTCTGTACCATTTTCTTCCTTTTAACATCAACTATTTTGTGATACTTTCTGAAATAAAAGTCTACCATACCTTAGAAATTAACAATGACCTCTTTAGCTAGTGCATTAAAAGTATTCGCTATTACATTTGGGAGATAAAACTGAGCTTTAAAAAGAAAAATATCTCAAAGCAGTCGTGCTATGATCATAATCTAGTGTACATATTTTTATGTTACTGATTCAACAGTGTCTATTACCAGGACTTTGATGTACACTTCATCACATCTGCTACCCAAGGCAGATATCAGTTTTCTAAAAGTTTAAGACATTTATTTAAAAAGCAAATGTATTATCTAGTAATTACTTTAAATTGCTTTACTAAATTGACAGCATGAATTAAATTGTAACATGTGGTTAAATAGTACTGCAAAATTTCTTTGGTCTTTAAATAAAAGTCTGGTAGTGCTTTACATTTAAAATAAGGAATTCTTATTAGTAAAGGAAAGCAAACATATCTCAGTGTCAACACTGCAGCTTTTACTTGTACGTATTTTTCTTTGGCGATCACACTTGTGCACATTACAAACATGTAGCACCTCCCTTTTTCTTCCAAGACAGACCGATGCCAACAGACAACAAAGGACACTTCATCATGCCCCAATTCTCCACCAGTGTGGACTTCCGGGTTGACGCGATCTGGAAATGGCGGATTCCCTCCGAGCTCCGGAGGGAACCGGCTCCACTGAGGACGGGTCTTTGCCGCGCCGGCGACGCGGGGACCCTTAAAAACCGCAGGCGCGGAAGCCTGCGGACTGAAGACTCGGCGGGTGCCTTAAGCGCCCCCCTGATTCGCAAAGAGCCTTTTTAAAGGCTGCGGAGGGGATACGGGGGTGGCGTGGCACTGAGAGTCGATCGCTACCTCGGTGGAGTGAAGCCGCGAGCCATGACCAGAGAGCGCTGACTTCCTTCCTTGAAAATTTGGACTGAAAGAATCACCCGTGAGTAATACGGATTGGGACTTTAAAAATTTTTTACCCTGAATTGGAGACGACCGGGGGGTGTGCTAAAAGGAAGTCCGCACCCCCCCCCCTGCAGACGATCTAAGCAACGGCATAAGAGCTAAGCTGGAGAGCCTACCCTTGGTGGGGTGAGTTAAAAAGGACATTATCTTTCAAGATTTAGCTAAAGGAAATTTTGGGCTGGAGAGTGGAGTTTTGGAAACCTTCTTTTTGTTTTAAACAACCCCCCCTCCCGGGCTCGGGAACGTCCTGCCTTTGTGCCTGTGTAAAAGCTGCGGAGTTTGACAGCTGTCAAAGCTGTCAAACGGGCGGTTTAAAGCGGAAAAATTGCTATCTAAGATTCCTCTGGATTAAGACGAGTTATAATTGAGCCAAAATCGTTGGAAACAAAGTAATAATAATAAGTTAAAAGACTGTTGGAGAAAAGACTAATAAGTAACCAGATTCCCCCTAGGGGAATTCTGTGAAACTACAATGGATACAATGGCTGTGGAAGGAAAGTTACTAGTGGAAATTGAAAGGATGTTTCAATTGGTGGGAACCTTACAAGAGCAGAGTTTGGCCATGAATAAACAACTTGTGACTATGACCTTGGGAACAGGCAACTCTGCTGTTTGTATTGAGGACCTGAATGAGAAAGAATCCACAGCTGAATGTGAAACAATATCTACAGAGGTCGAAGAGACTAAACAACAAGAAAAAGAGGAGTGGACATCTGTGGAACACAAGCAAGGAGACTCTGGGAACACATCTACCACAAGTCTGCGAAAGATACAGAAGAAGAAGGAGGAGGCCCTGGGACAACATGGAAAACAGGAATTTAAAATAAAGAAATATGATTGGGGCCTCCATTTGGACTTTGAAGACACAGACTTAGTGGGAACTTTTCAGCAGTTACTGTCAAACCTCCTTGTGGGAAGAGAATATTTTTTGATGGCGAAAGAACTTCTTCCAGACTCGACGACTGACATAAAGGACTACCAACAAGACAGGCGGAGAGGGACTGAAAGGGACTTGAAAGCCTCGGACGTGAGGAACCCAGGCTGAGAATTTTGATTTTGGATTTTTATTGGGAAGGGACAAAAACCGGGGATGGGAGGGAGGGAAGAGGAGATTCCTAAAAACTCTGAAGACTTGTAGGTTTGGTTAATATGACTTTTAATGAAGATAAAATGAAAAATCGATGGAAGAGAACTTAAGTCCAACTTAGGAAAATCAATGTTTTATTATAAAAGAGGTAATAAGATGAATAAGATGGTTAAGAGGAGAAATACCAACTTGCTGATATAATCTTGGGAATTGGAATGCATGAGGGGGGGTGGGGGGAAGTCCGGGAACAAGGTTATGAAACGGGGATTTGCTGATTCTATACATGTTTTTGTCTTGTGTTCTTTTTTGTGTGTGTTTTGTTTCTATAAAAGCAGAAAACCCAATAAAATTGTTATAAAAAAAAAATAAATTCTCCACCAGTGTACACATACAGAGCCAGTGATGACACAGCTGGTTTCCTATAATAAGCATAATACAAGAATGGACTTGGTGGAATCTACCTTTTTCAGATAAAGTCTCATGTTCCGTGCTGAGCACCAAAGTGCTTGGCCAGGAATAGGAGCACCTTTTTTGGCAAAAGGCCCTGGGTGCTCAACTTCCATATTGCATCTATAGTTAAGGATGAAATGTTCAAAAGCAACGTTTCTCAAACTTGGTGGAAAAAAATCCTCCCATATATTCCAGCCATAAAGATGCTTTCACAACTGCCACTAGCCAACAATTTTAGTCTGGGATGCACTGCTTGTGAATGTTGTCAACATGGAAGCTATTACAATGAAGAAGGCCTCCTTTAGAAAATGGAAGCCTTGTCCAGATGAAGAAAGCAAAACAAAATATGAAGTTTGGTAAAAGAAATGCAGACAGTAAAAAGGTAAAGGTGACTATGGGGTGTGACGCTCATCCTGCTTTTCAGGCCAAGGGAGCCAGCGTTGGTCCACAGACAGCTTTCAGAGTCATGTGGCCAGCATGACCAAACCACTTATTATTTATTTATTATTTATATACCGCCATATACATGGGACACCATGATGGAAGCCAGAGTGCCCAGAAATGCTGTTTACCTTCCCGCCGCAGCGGTAGCTATTTATCTACTTGCACTGGTATACTTTCAAACTGCTAGGTTGGCAGAAGCTGGGGCAGAGCAACAGGAGCTCACCCCATCGTGCGGATTCGAACTGCCGACCTTCTGATCAGCAAGCTCAAGAGACTCAGCAGTTTAGATCACAGTGCCACCTGCATCCCCTGCAAGCAGACAATAAGAGATGGTGTGTGTGTGAAAAATTCAAAGAGCACATTGCTTAAATATAAAGGTCCACAAAAAAAACACCTTAAATACACCAGTAGCAGGAGACCAGCTGGGAGGGTGGTTGGATCTACAGATGACAAGGGAGGAAAATAAGTTTGCAGAGAAGCCGAATTATTTGCATCCGTCTTCACAGTGGAAGCTGTAGGGCAGATCCCTGTTCCTGAACTAACTTTCACTGGAAGGGAGTGTGAAGAACTGAGGCAAATAGTGGTGATAAGAGATGTTCTAGGCCTTACTGTCAAATTAAAAAATGACAAATCACCAGGGGTAAATGGCATCTATCCACGAGTTTCTAAAGAACTTCCATGTGAAATTGCTAATCTACAAAACTATGTGACTTTCCCCTAGTATCAGCGTC